CTGCCGGCAGCAGAGCCTGGAAGGCTCCTGCCCCAGAACTGTTCTGGACCTTAACCTCTGCTCCCAGCCCGGCCCAGTGCCCCCACACTCCACCCTACCAGCCCATCCCACACGTCCACAGCTAGGTACCTTGTAGAAGGCGAGGGGGCCGAGCTTGGCAGTTTCCACAGCACAGTGCGCAACACCCTGGAGTGAGATGGAGAGAGATGAGGAGGCGCTGGGAGGCAGAGGCCAGCATGTGAAGGGGACAGGACCGGCAGCAGCTACCCACCCGGTACTCGCCCTGGGAGTTCATGAGGCGGGTCTTGAGCACGTCCAGGGGCTGGCACAGGAACGTGGCGCATCCGCCCTGGGGAGAGTCAGCAGGGGTCAGCAGCTCCAGCTCACGGAGACCCAGATGCCAGCGACTGCAATGGTCACTGGAGAGACCCAGAGCCCTGCCTGCACCCAACCTCATGCTGGGAGCCCCACAGGAGCCTCTGTGCCCAGCCCCGCTTCACTGGAGTCCTGAGAGGCAGCGCTGGCAGCCCCAGCCTGGGGTCCTGAGCCCGGCTGCAGGCAAACCCAGTCCCAGCCCTGCCTCCCCACACCCAGCCCTGCTCACCGCGATGAAGCTGGCCAGGAAGTGGGTGAAGATGTTGTCTGACAGCAACCCAGTCGTGAGAACCAGCTGCTTGGCCTGGTCATAACAAGAGAGCTGCGGAGACACGGTGTATTAGTGACACGTCCCCCCTCCTTGCCATGCCAGGGACTACCCCTGTCCCTGCCCCCGGCACCTACTGCCCAGCAGAGCTGTCCTACCTGCCCAACGGTGACAAGGGCCCCTCGGCTGGATGCCATTGTAGCTCCCGAGAAGAGTTTCTTCAAGCCCTCTGTGGACAGACAGATTGGGATCAGCACAGTCCTGGGACATTACTCACACTCCCTTCCCCTGGCGAGCCTCCTTCTCTGCCCAGTCTGTGTCCCAGACTCCTCATACAACAGTGCTTAAAACACACAACAGCAAATACGCTGCAGGAAAGGAGAATCCTTCGGAACAGCCCTATCTCCTCCCTGCTGCTGTTCATTCCCCTTCCCACCTGCTCCACCCTCTTGCGCTTTTTCATAGCGGCTCCCTGCAGGTCTCTCTTTTCCACTGGAGTACGGGCAGGCTGCCAGGCCCCGCCTGGCCTGTGCCCCAGCCAGATGTTGCGGAGGTGCCAGGCCCTGCCCGACCCTCGGCTCCCCTGGCCCCATGGCCATCCTCCCTCCCCTCTCCCTGCCCCGGCTGGGTGAGCACCCACGGCAGCTCCCAGACGGAGCTCCC